ACAGGGACTTGGGGAACCCTGAGCAGGGGGGTCTGACCTGGTCATCTCCCTGCAAAGTAACTTCTGCCTCCCACCCCCCCCCTCCCCGCCCCGTTTTTGGAAGCAATCATGCAAATCCTGGGGGGTTTGATTCCAAGCAGGGCAGCGGGGGTGTTGCTTTCGGCTGTGGCTGGAGGTGTTTCCGCAGCCTCCGGTGGTTTGGTGTGAGCTGCCGGGCCGATGGAGCGGGAGGGAGAGCCTGGCTTTGGGAAGGCAGAAAACCTCCTCCCACCTCTGCCCAGGGCAGGTGCTGGGATGGAAACAGCTGCAAGGCCCTGGGGTTAATGTGTAAAATAACCCACCCGGCACTCAGGATCTGGTTTATTGCCCTGTTAACGATGGGCAAGCAGAGGGAGCTTGGGGGGGGGGGGGCTGTCTTTCCTGGCATCCCACATCCCAGCCTGGCCAGTACATGACGTCTGCCCCAGCCTCCAAGCTGGTGGCATTCACTCAGCAATAAACCAAGGTAATTATTAATCCTAACCATGCGGGGGGCTTCCTCTGAACAAGGGCTGGGCCGGAGGAGGCAGTGCCAATCCCTGGTCATAACCCCCAGCATCCCACGTGGGAGCATTGGTGACGGGCAAACCTCCCAGGATTACTCTCTATCTGCTGGCACAGCCGAAGTAGCACCATGAAAGGTGCTTAGAAAACAAATGTGCAAGGAGAAAGGGACGTTCCCTGTCCTATCGCATCCAGGATGTTTGCCCACGAGTGCCTGCGAAGTCCTGACGTAGTGCGAGTCTGGCTCAGATAAACAAATAGCAACTCTCCCCGCCCCAGGGTACCTCACCGGGGTTTACTGAAGGAAAACCTAAATGTGTGACCAGCCCGTGCTGCTGGTCTCGGGTCAGGCTGAGCCCTTGGTCCTGCTCCAGGAGCTCGGAGGTTTGGGGAGGAGAGGGCTGGTTTGGGTGTCCCCGCAGGTCACAGGGCGACGGGACCTTGGCTTGTGTGGGAAACCCAGCGTGGGGACCACGGCGCTGGCACGAGTGGCCTGGAGGTGTGAGCATCGCCAGGAGAAGAGATGAGACTTTTTTCTGTGTACATATAATTTGCTGGAATGGAAAGGAATCAGAAAACAACACAAAAAAACCCATAGCAGAGAAACCAGGGCAGCTTTTCCCAGTGAAACAAAACCCAAACCATCAGTGGGAAAACATTGGCTTGGTCAACCTGCCACAAGCCAGTCTTCTGGGATTACATAAACTTCACAAAAAAAGCTCACTTCTTACTTTGTACTTATTTTTTTATAAAACATTTTAATTCAGGTCCACTCTGAAATGAAAAGAGTCTCCTTGAAACAAAAAAAGCATTGTGGTTTGCTCTGAGAACATCTAAATGAGCCACTTCAGCATCGCCCCAGTCCTTGCCCTTTCCCTTTGCCCAAATGATGCCTCGTAGCCCTGTCAGATGCCAGCTCCAAAGCCTCATGTCCCCACAGGTCGCTCACCCCCATCTCCGGCGGTGACCCTGGAGGCATGCTTGGCTGGGAGGTGAGTGTGGGGCTACTGGCCATCTCCAAATGGGTCCCGGGAGCCGCCGGACGCAGCGGTAGCTGCTGTGGTCAGGAGCTGATGTCACCCCAGCTGTGACTCGGGTGTCACCCAGGAAGGTCCCTGCATTACCTTCCCTTCTGCATCTCCATACAGTGCAACCGTACCATGCCCGAATGTTATTTCTCACAGGTCCCCTGCCAGCTCTCACAGGACTGCGGCGGCTTGGCACGCCTCAAAATGTCACCAGCGTTGTGCAAGGCAAAGGCGCTCAGCTTTTCCATGCCCGAGCAGCACCTGCCACCCAAGAGCCTTTCCCCAGACCCCCGCAGCCCTGCCAACGGTACCAAAAAGGCACCCGGTGCCTCCAAATTTCAGGCCAATGGCTTAGACCTAAGATATAAGGGTGCTGGGTGCTGCAGCGAAGGATCCAGCTGAAGGCAGGGCTGGGCAAGAACGGCAGGGATCTGCTGGTGGCTGGGGTCTGCTCGTGGTGAAGTGATGCTGCCCTCGTCTCTGGTTTTGGATGAACAGAAAAATCTGGGTTTCTCTTTTTCAGGTTTCGCCCTCAGCAGAGGGGTTGTGGCTGCTCGGGTAAAACCTGTTCTTGCTGGGCGCTGGAAAGAGGTAAGGTGAAGGTGTGTGGAGGAGGACTTCTTTAAAAAAAAAAAAAAAAATGCTTTCAGCTTGGTTTTAGCCCTCCTGACGCCTTTCTGCTTTCCCAGGGTGAATCCAGAGAGCATGAAAACTTGGGTTTATCCTAAGCTTTTCTATGTAATGGTGAAACAAATGTAAAAAAATGCTTCATCTTAAGATTCAGCCTTGAAACAGGAGCTGGTGGTGCCAGGGGTGCCCAGGACAGTGCTTATCTCTGTCATTAGTAGCCTCAGACCTGATAACTATTTGAGTCTTTAATGAATATCAGAAGTAGAGCTTTGCGCAGCCATCGTGCCCCAGGTCTGCAACGCTCTCACGCAGCGGGACGCGCATCTCTGCCGCACAGGGGGAGGCGGGAGCAGGGTTCTGCCTGCGCAGAGGGGGTTATTGGAGCCGAAACCCTGCACGACAGCACGGGAAGCATCCGGGAAAGTCCCCGAGCTCGTGGCCCTGCCGCTTTTCTGCACGGAAGCAGCCGTTGGCGAGGCGGCAGCCCGGGAGCAGGGCTGGCAGAGCTCCCGGCCGCAGGCTGCCGGCAGCCCTCCTCGCCCCGCAGCGGGGCCACCGCCACGCCAGAGTGGCACAGCCCGTGGGCACGCTGCACCCCGGCCAGCCCTGGGCTTGCCGGCCGGCCGTGCTGACGCCGGGGGATCCGGCGAGCCCCGGGAGCCTGCCGCACACCCACCGCATCTCGGCATCCCCTGCGGCTGCGGCGGCCGCTCCAGGGCTGTGTTGCGGGGTTTACTCCAGCTCCCCACAGCTGGAGTAAAGCCCAACAGCGATGCTGCCATCCCTGCCCCCACGGTGGTGCGAGGGCATGTTGCAAGGAGGAGATGGTGGCTGCACTTTCGGGACTTTGCTGTTCGCGTCTGTTTGTGCCTGTTTGTGAAGTAGGGGGGTTCTTCAGTGGGGTCCCCCTCCATCGTGAGCCCCTCTCCGGAGAGTGAATTCCCAGCCGTGAGCTGGCGTGCACCTACCATCCCTGTGCTACAGGGATGAGAGGAGCTCTTCTCACATCCTGTGCTGGTCAAGCTCAGCGTGGCTCTTTGTCGTACCCCTGACCCCCTTTCTCTGCATCTCACAGCCATGATTTCTTGGGGCCATGAGTTCAGCAGATTCAGATTTTCCTATGCAGTGGGAACAGACTAAAAAGAAAGGAGGGAAGATGCGTAGGGGACCTTTGGTAATGATAAGGTTGTGGGGTGCTGCAGAGCTGGTGCAGCCTGTTTGGGCAATGTTTCCTGGGGAGCTTTCACAGCCCCCAGGACGCAGAGCTGCAGGGCATCTGGGAAAACAGTAAGCCAAGATAAGGAGAGAGAAACTGGTCTGGAGAAAGCAATGCAACTTTCCTCCCCAAACTGAGCTGGACTTGGGGTTTTCTTGGGAGCAGGGCCAAATGCAGTTTGAGTAGCAGAGGTTGCATGGGTCCCACCAGGTGTCCAGCCTCGGAACAGAAGAGCCTTTCTCATGACAAGTGCTGTGTTTCTGGGGGGTTGTGAGAGCTGTAGGAGACCCTGGCCCTCAGCAAAATGCAGAGGCACTGTGGGGAAAGGGACTGGGATATCTCTGCTAGGCAGGAAAGGAAATATCCCAAAGGATTTCCTGCAGGCTTCCCAGTCTGGCTTTGTGATTGACATGAGTGACTGGCGGGGATGGGAGGACAACCAAAAAGGAGACATCAGAAATGGTGGGGACTGATTTTCATGGCTGAAAAAAGACCCTCAGCTGAAATGCTACAGTTAAGAGGAAAGGAAGGTCTTAAATCTGCTTTTCAATAGGCAGGGGGATGTCCCCTGCTGCAGCAGGGATGTTGGTGAAACACTGCTCCAAACCAGGACTGAAGAAAGAGTTTGGAAGGACACTGCACCTGCCTGTTCTGCTGGTGGAAATCTGACCCATGAGATCAGTCCTGGCATGCCAAGCAGGCACCTTCCTGCTGCAGCAACCCTTCCTCTCGACTCCCTGCACCCCCAGGTGAGGTGTGGGTTCCAGGAGATATGTGGGCCCTGGGCAGAGCGTGGGTGCCTGGTGAGGTGAGAGTCCTGGGCAGAGCATTGGTCCCCCCCAAGGTGTGGATCCTGTGAGATGTGGGTCCTGGGAGAAGTGTGGGTCTTAGGAGAAGTGGGGATCCAAGGAGAGGTGGGGGTCCTGGGTAAGGTGAGGGTCCCAGGAGAGGTGTGGCTCTATTGCTCCAGGGACCCCCAAACGATGCCGTGCACAGAGGCAAAGCTGGGATCTCAATGTCCCCATTAGAAACTGGGGTTGGGCCCCAGCTCCCTTTTTGGGATTCATCCCAAAGTGACCTGCCTGTGTTGGTGGTGGTGCAGAAAAGACCCGCATTTCTTTTCCAGAGATCAGATCACAGCTGCCAAAAGCACCTCTCCCGGTTAGCGCTGGGATCCCCTCCCTGTAACTGGGATCCTTTGCAATTAACAGCTATGGGGCAGGGCTAACGCCGCAGGGAGACCTCTGTGCCCGGGGGGCAGAAGACCCTCGGGGTGCTGGGGTGGAACCGTGGGACCCCCCGAGCTCCCAGCTCCTGGTCGGTGTCCCATCAGCAGCGGGGAGGGTCCCCAGGGGGAAGTGTGGGGTGTCACCCTTAAACTCCTTCCCGTGGCAGCACTGGGGAGCTCTCTGCCTCCTGGTGCGGCTGGGGGGGACGGAGGGGCAGGGCAAGAGTTAACCTACCTGCTCTGCCATCCCTTTTGGCTCCACCTCGGAGAGCGAGGGGAGGGAAAAGGGAAAAAGTAAGGGGGGGGGGGGGGAAAAAAAAAAAAAAAAAAAAAAAAAAGAAGAGGAGGAGGAAGAGGAAGAGGGCAGAGAGAAGCGCCCGGACCGCGGGCAGCCCCGGCCAGCAGCGGAGCGGCCGCCCCGTCCCACTCCCAGCATGTTCCAGTGGTGAGTGAGTGCCGGGGAGCGGGGACCCCCAGCCCCGCTCCTGCCCCGTCCGAGCCCCGGGGTCCCCCCGCCCGCCGCCCGGCACCGCGCCCTGCCCGGAGCCGGGGGGGCTGCGAGGTCCCCTCCGCACCGGGTCCCTCCCGAGGGGGGTCCCGAGGGGGCGGCTGGCTGGGAAAAGGCGGCTTTGAAGGGGAGGGTGCGCATGAGGAAGGGACAAAAGGACGGCGTCCGTCCCCTGTCAGTCTGTCCCCAGCGCAGGAGGGACGCTCCCCCGCTCCCGGCTCTGCAGAGGGCTCCCGGGCGGGGGTACCCCGGGGAAGGTTCTCTGGGGTGTCTGGTCCCAGCGCAAACCTCGCCCCATCCCGGGGCACCGGAGCTCCGGCACGGCGGGAGCCGGAACGGGGGCACCGGGCAGGGGCTGGCGGTCAGTGTCGTGTCCCCCCCGCTCCCCTGGGGATGCCTTTCCCAGCCCTTCCCAGCAAAGGGCTGGTTTGTGTGCTGGGACCGGGGAGAGCGGGGCCGGCGGGGGGAGCGGCCAGACCTGCCCCGTGGGGTCCCTGTCCCACGGCAGCGCCAGCGTGGGGGCAGATGGCCACGGCGCGGGGGAAAACATCCAGGGTTTCGGCTCATGCCTCTCCCCAGCCTTGGGTTTTTACCGCCTTGTATTTAAACCAGACGGCTTTTATAAGAAGGGGCTGTGTCCCCGGACACCCCGGGATTGGGGACAACTGTCGTGAGCTGGGGTCCCGCTTGGTGCTTGCACCCAGCCGGCACAGGCTGCTCTGGGAGACGTTTGGGTGCTTTCTGCCCAGCATCTGCTCCCAGATGGGATCCCCTCTCCCAAGCCCTTGGCACTGCCAACAGAAAGGGCTCTATACCGGCCGTGCCTCCGCCGGCTCAGTGACTGGGTCTAATTGAGGGGCCAGAAAAATCCAAATAAATAGATAGCTCTGACTGATGAAAGAGGTTTTCATGCGGATCAAAAGTGGCTGTGTGCCTCTCCAGGGACCGGGGATAGAGAACCCCAGTCTCCTGGGGCCCCGCAGCCCTACAGCATCACCACCTGAAAGGGAAACTACCCACCTCTAATTTGGGGATTTTATATTTAACTGCTCGGGACACAGCCGGCGGTGGCGTGGCTGTCTCACAGGGCGGCTTTTGAGCTTTTCCTAGTGGAGAAAAGGGAAGAGGAGGAGCGGGTTGGGACCCTTTCAAAGCTCTCTCGACGGCACCGACACGGGCGGTTGGGGCAGCCGGTCCCAGCTGACGCCGGTGGGAGCCCAGCCGGGACGGGCGCCGGTTGCTGCCGTCCTCGGGCCCTGCAGGGCTGGGTGCCCCGGGCTCTTGGGGACACTGCCAGGGACAGGCTGGGGGTTGCACCCCAAAGCAGGGTGCTGGGGCTCCGCAGGGTGATTTCTCTGCGATGGCAGCCAACCCAAAGTGCCTGCCTTGCCGTCGCCTCCTGCAGAGCCACGGTTCTTGGGGTGTCCAGAGAGCAGGACTTGGTTTCCCTCCCACTAAAGTACTTCCCAGCGAAGGAGACCACAGAGCAGAAAGACTCAAGATCAGAAAAGATTCACACATGATTGTTAAGTCTTTTGGCTTCCCAAATCCTTATTTTGATGTAGGAATCACCTGCAGTTGTGGCTCAGGGTCCCTGCAGTCCCTATTGCTTTCCTGCCAGAGGTTTCTGCAGGGCAGAAGGCAGCCGTGGGGCTGCCGGCTCCTGCGGGAGCCAGTGGTGCCCCCGTGGTTTGCAGAGTCAGACCTACAGGAAAAATGCCAAACAGATTTTTGTAACAACGCAAAACTTGCACGTTGCACCAGTGAGAACTGGGAAACAGTGTCCGCTGAAGGAAGGAGGAATAACTTTCCGTGCTGTTGTGCAACATATCCATATACCCAGGTGTAGGCAGGCTACCTAACTGTCCACCTCTTACTAAAAGATGGAGCTCTCCCCTCAGCCCCAGGGCAATGGCTTCTGCCTGGGCTGAAATAAAAAGCACAGATCCAAGGAGGGTAACGGGGGTGAGTGGCTACGTGCGACTCCTGTCTGTGGTGGGCAGAGCCTGCCAAGGGTGGGACTCATCCATGCCAGTTAGCGACAGCCTTACCTATGCCCGTTTTAAAAAGATACATAATTTTTAAAAATTATCCCCTGCCCATAGGTTCTGGGGAACCTCTGGCCATCCTTCAGGCTGGGTGTTTTAGCATGTGTTGTCCTTGGGGTGGTGGGGAGTGCACGGATGGGATGGGGTGGGAGCAAGGCTGGGGTGTCAGGATGGGATCAGTGTAATTGGGGTTACTATACGGGGGTGAACAGGGTTATTTTTGCTGCAGTGCCAGATATTGATGAGAGGTTTTGAACATTGCTTGGCTGTGAAGTTGTATTGGGACGGAAGGGTTTCTAAGAATAAGCTCAGAGCTGTGCAGCCAGGGCTGGAGAGGGTTAAGGGAATGGTGAGATCTAATCAGAACTGCTCCCTCATCAGTCTCAGATGAGTGGCCACATATAAAACCTGACAGGGAATATCTATCCATTTAACCATAATTACTTATTTCCACGCTGGCTCTCACAGTCCACACTAGCAATCACAGTTTTCCCATGTAAACATGGGGCTGAAAAGTCCTTTGTGCTTGAGGCTAAAGCCAGAGACAGGAGCTCACAAAAGCTTCTGGTTCCCCCAGTTCCTATTTGGGGCTCCTGCATTTCGGGGTGGCCAGAGTCCCCAAGTGCAATGCTGTCCCCTGCCCTGGGGAACCCATGGGGCTATGGCATGTCCCACTAAGCAGGTGCTTTGGTGCAGGCTGTGCCCCAAAACCCCAGCAGCTTCCCAAGTAGCATTGATCACAAACCAGCCCCTGGTAGCAGGAGAGTTTCAAGGCTTTTTTTTTTTTTTTTTTTTTCCCCCTATTTGGAAATTACTTGGGTTAAATGTTTCAGGTTTCAGCCCCAAGCTCATTCTCTGGACTATCGCAAGGTGAAGGTGCCATCTGCCTGGTAGAGGTGATCTTGGATCTTTCTGGCTCTAACAGGGAGCAGGAGGCTGAGGGCTGTCCCTAACAGGTGGCGCCTGGGCTGGGACGTGCTTCTGTCACCAAAAGGACAGGCACAGGGGAGTCATGAGACCGGTGCCACATCCTCCTCCTTCTGCTCCTCAGCTGAGGTCCCTTTCACCCACCGGCAGGGAAAGGAGCTTCAGGGACCACCGAGCACCCCCCGTGTCCCCTCTGCATGGGAGCAGCCGGAGATGGGGCTGCCCCGGGGAAGCTGTTGGGACCCTGATGCGCACGTGGAGCCCAGCTGCCGCCCCCCGTGCCCGGTGCTCGTTGGCATGGGGAGATGGCCCAAGGCAGCTGGAGCAAGCAGGACTGTGGTGGGAGGAAATTGGTGCAGATGTGCCAGCTGTGGAAGGGAGCCGAGCGCTCGGGGGCAACATAGTGCAGATGGGCAGATCAGACAGTTCCTCTTCCCCACAGCAGCAGGGTGAGAAAACCATCTTTAACTGTGTGGAAAAGCAGGTGGGGGGGTATTTGGTGAACTGATAATCTAGTGCAGCCTTCCCACTGTCACAAGAACTGCAGGAGGATCCCACTCAAGCCCCCGACGAGCCCCAGGGTTTGTCCCATGAGCCAGCAGCTTTCCCGGATGATGGATCTGCAGCAGGGAAGAGCAGCAGGATGACCCCGTAAAGGGGCTAGGTTTGATCCACCACCCCCAGCCCCCCCAGTCCTCTGCACACCCCAGACACGCCGATACCTGGTTTGCTGCAGGCTGGGAAAATCTGCCCCCTCCCCAGTCTGCAGTGCATCCACTGCTCCTTATCACTGCGAAGCAAAGCAACAGGTCCCGAGAGCTGGCCCAAACACCCAGCAGTGCCCCCAGAAATGCTGGCTCCCGAGGCGGTTGCAGGGTTAGGGATGTCTTTTCCCCATTGAACATTGAAGTTTATCTCAAATAGCAACTTTTTTTGTCCTGATCTGCCATTTTCAAGTGAAATGGTGATGGCTGTTTCATGTTGACTGCCATGGCCTTCCCAGCTCCGGTTTCTCAGTGTTGTGTAGCCTGTGATGCTAGTCAAGGGCCATGGGCAGTACATCCTGTGTTTTGGAGCTAACGCTTCCATGGGAAAGATAATTCTGCTCTTGTCCTAAACTGCAATTTTCAGATGTCTGAAACAGGGGTTTCCCTTGTGACTTTCCTCTGAAACAGCTGCTTTGCTGAAGCTATCATCCTAACTTCATCTCTCTCTCTCGACCCATTTTCTTCTTTACCATGAACCCTTCCCAGCTCTTTGCACAGATATGGGGTTACCAGGTGCCTTGTGCTTGTCCCTGCAGTTAAGTGTGGCCCCAGAGCCACCCCACAAGCGGGATGCAGGTGGGAAGAGCACGTGTGGTGTGGAGGTGTCCCACAGCCGTTCCCATAAGGCTGCTGCCCATCAAAAGGTGATGGGACACAGATTATGAGCATCCCATGGCCCCTCCAGGAGGTGCTTTTACAGACAAGTCTCTCTCAGTCTGCAGTTTCTGCTTCTTAACCCCCCATCTCATCCCTTTAGGAAGAAGACCATCTACAAAACAGTTTGCCTCTCCTTCTTGCTGGTGATCACAGTGACAGTGCTACAACGGGGAATGGCCCCAAGCCAGTTCATGCAGGGCCAGCAGCAGAAAGAGCTGCCCGCTCCAGAGCCCCTGAAAACACAGAAGAGAGACAACGCCTTCTCCATCACCAGCACTTTCTGGAAGAGCAAGAAGGAGAAAGCTCCTGTGAAGGAGGAGGAGAATGTGACGGCAAAGCAAGCAAAATCCTGGGATGTCACCACTACCAACTGCTCAGCCAACCAGAACTTCAGCAAGGTGGACTGGTTCAAAGGGCTGGAGCCCAACTTCCAGCAGTTCCTGCTCTATCGGCACTGCCGCTACTTCCCCATGCTGATCAACCACCCTGAGAAATGCAGCGGGGATGTCTACCTGCTCATCGTGGTCAAGTCTATCATCACGCAGCATGACCGCCGCGAGGCCATCCGGAGGACCTGGGGCCAGGAGAAGGAGGTGGAGGGCAAAAGGATTAGGACGCTGTTCTTGCTGGGCACAGCCTCCAAGGAGGAAGAGAGAGCCAACTACCAGAAACTGCTGGATTATGAGAACCACATCTATGGGGACATCTTGCAGTGGGATTTCCTGGACAGCTTCTTCAACCTCACTCTGAAAGAGGTTCATTTCCTGAAGTGGCTGAACATCTACTGCGACAACGTCCGCTTCATCTTCAAAGGTGACGACGATGTGTTTGTGAGTCCCAGCAACATCCTGGAGTTCCTGGAGGACAAGAAAGAGGGAGAGGACCTCTTTGTGGGGGACGTGCTCTACAAAGCCAAGCCGATCCGGAAGAAGGAGAACAAGTACTACATCCCTAGTGCCCTCTACAACAAAAGCAACTACCCACCCTATGCAGGGGGTGGGGGCTTCATCATGGATGGACCCCTGGCCAAGAGGCTGCACAAGACCTCAGAGACGCTGGAGCTGTACCCCATTGACGATGTCTTCCTAGGGATGTGCTTGGAAGTCCTCAAAGTATCACCTGTTGGGCACGAGGGCTTCAAAACTTTTGGCATTGTGAAGAACAAGAACAGCAAGATGAACAAGGAGCCGTGTTTTTTCCGGAGTATGTTGGTGGTTCATAAACTGCTGCCCCCAGAGTTGCTCCAAATGTGGGACTTGGTCCATAGTAACTTGACGTGCTCAAGAAAACTCAACGTCCTTTAGCTCAGTCTCTCTGGAGAGCTGGGACTGGAGGGGCCAGGACAGCTCATCCTTGTTCCGGAGTGGAAGGATCCTCTGCTGGTGGCACACAAGTCCTTCGGGGGCATTTCCCTCCAGGGCAAGGAGGGCATAGACACTGTGCTTGCGGGCAGGGTTTGTGATAGTGTTTGTTCCTGTACTGTAATGTGGTTTGCTTATCTCCAGCTGGGTTGGGGGTTGCTGAAAAAAAAGAGGAGAAGAAAAAAAAAAAAACAAAAACACAACAAATCTAGCACAAAATGAAGAGAGAGAGAGAGAGAGAGAGAGAGAGAAAGAGGGAGGGCAGAGCTGTTTGTGCTCTGCTTTAGGTACCACCTCCACCAGAGCATGATGAATAGTGGGGTGGAGGGGAGGCAGGGAAGGCTGTGGCACAGGCATTTTTTTGGAGATGTTCAGGTGTGGCTGTCCAGGGAAGCCACTTCAAGGGAGATGAGCCGTTTACGAGTGCATGAACACCTCATGACTCAAAAGTCAAGGGGATTTTATTTGTTATCTCAAATTTCTACTCCATGCAAAGTTTTAGTGACATTGTCCCTGTGTGCCTTGGGTTCATCCCCACTGAAGTCCTCTCTGTGTTCCCACTACACAGCTGGGGAAAGGGGCTCTCCTCCAAGGCTGAGCCTTGCCAGTCCCAAGCCTCCATTACGGTTTCAGCTAGGCAGTCAGGGGACTGGGGTCTTTGTCCCCAACAAAGGATCCCGGACGATGGTGGCTCCCAGCACTGGCCCAGGATGTACTTGGCTCCCCAGCCCCTCTGCAGCCATGCCGTGTGTGCACTCGGGGGAATGCACCCAGCCAAAATTCCTCAGGGATTTGTTCCTCATGGCAGGAAAGGGAAGGCACAAGGCCAGCTGCCCTTGCCCACGGTTAAGGAAATGGCAGAGAAACTTGGTCAGCCCCAGCTGGAGTGGCCCAGGGGCTTATCACACTTGGAACCCTAGTTTGGGTGCAGGCATCCTGGGTGCCTGCTGCAGGGGGATCCTCTCTGCCTCACTGCCATAGTGGGGTTGCCTCTGAGGGGGACAACAGCCCCCAAAGACCTTGTGCATGGCTGCTTCAGGCTCAGCCCTGGTTTTGCAGCGAGCATGATGCTCCAGGGCACGTTGGAGAGCATCAGTCCCACCCCTGCAGGCAGAGCAGAGTCCCAGGGGACAAGATGAAGGAGAGCTGGTGTTTTGCACCAGGTCTGATCCTCTCAGGGTTGTTGCAATGTTTATTGTATAGGATGAGGCCCAGGAACATGACAGGGAGTGGTATCATGAGACATGGCCCTTTTTCTTTGGGCTGAAAGGGTCACTGGAGCCGTGGAGGGAAGCCCCAAGCCAGGTGCTGTGATAGAACCACAGCACCCCTCCCGACACAGAGACACACAGCCATGCAGGGGCCACAGCCGCTCTCCAGCCACTGACTGCAGGCATGAGAAAAGCCACAGGCATGTGCAAAGCCACACGTGTGCACAGGCACTGGTGTGCCAGCTGGCACAGGCTCTGTGCATGCAGATGTCCCCATGCGTAGGGCTTGCACGCCCAGATGTCCCTGTGCACGGGTGGACACACACACACACACACACACACACAGAGCTACATCCACGGCCCTGACCACGCACAGCAAAACGTGGGCACATGTGCGCTCGCTCTCTCTCCCTCTCTGGTGCCAGATATTGAAAGAAAAAAATTTTGACTACCTCAAAGGTTCCCCTGTGCAGTGCCTTTTTTTTTTTTTTTTTTTCTTTCCTTTTCTTAATGTGTTTTGGAAACAGTCCCGTTTCATTTACTCCAAGTCTGTATGTTCCCCAGGTTAGAAAACAAACAAAAAAAGGGCATAAACCAGCCAAAAAAGGCACCTTCATGCCAAGCCACGCCACTTCTCGGCAAATGTCCCTCATCTGTTTAGACAAGAAGCAAATTTGAAGAGGAGGAAGAAAAAGAGCCTGTTGCTGTCCAGGGCTCAGCTGTTGGTACTGGGGATGGCGGCAATACTGTGAAATTTGATTTACGATGCACCCAGTGGCACCGTGTTCCTGGGGCAAGAGCCAGCAGCGCAGGGCAGAGCCCCCGAAGGCACTTTCAGTGCCCTCTGGGCTTAGGCAGCATACAACACTCCTTCATTTTCCCGTCCCCTCCCTCCTTCCAATGGGAGCGAGTTCAGAAATACTTTCCAGATTGACACCTCTGTAATTTATGTCAGGTACAGTACATTAGGCTGTATATTTATCCTATACACAGGGACAGCTCTTGGTCTCCGTAGCAATGTGTACGGTGAGCCAGAGCTGCGTGCAGAAATCTCTCAGTGTTGCTCTTCACCTGGTGGGACCTGTACAGAGAAACCTTGTAGATTTGGTGAATATTCTAGTTTCTAAATAAAGGTTAAAAGAAGGAGAAAAAAAAAAAAAAAAAAAAAAAAAAAGCCCTCACTTTGTGTCTTTGCTAGTGCATTTGTGCTGGCCAAGGCAGCTTGTCTGGTTGGGAACAAATGGTAATGGGCTGCAGCGGCAAAACCTCTGCTTGGAGCAGGCATTTTGGGGGGGGCTGTGGCTGCCCTCCTCCAGCTCAGCATACCTTCTTTGCAGAGTCTGGCATGGTGTTTTAATAAGGGCCAGCAGATATTTTTTTTTTCTCTTCCATGCATTCCTCCTGCTGTATATCAAACCCAGCTAAACTTCAGCTTGTCCTGGAGCCCTGCGGTGAGGAGCTCCTCACCTCGCACTCTGTGGGAAGAGCCACTTTGGCAGGTTTGCAACTCTCCTGTTTTGTTCACCACCTTCTCCTCACACTGAAGGAGATTGCCACTTTGCTGTCTCAGTCACCTTCTCCATGGCAGGACCTTGCTACCTGCCTTTTTTCCCCCAACCAAAGTACTACCACAGGGTGACACATCCCCTGGCCATAGCGCAGTGGGATAGACATGCCATGAGCCAGCAGTGACCCCAGAGCAGAGTGAGCCATGTCCGCAGGGACAAACCCGCATCAGGTTTGAACCTGGCTGGGGTGAAGAAGAGGAAAGCCGTGGATGAGTCCGTGGGTCTCACTTCGGTGTTTGGGCACTGGGGGCTCGGTTTCCGGGGCTGGCACCCAGCTTGGCTGCTCAACGTGGTGATGGCGAGCAGAGAGGCTAGCAACGAGACCAGGACACGGTTCTGCTTGCGTGGGTCCAGAGAAGGCCATGAAGATGATTGGGGGGGCTGGAGCACCTCCCTTATGAGGAGAAGGAGTTGGGGTTGTTCAGCCTGGAGAGGAAGAGGAAGAGCAAGAGCAAAAGAAAGAGGGAGGCATGGCTCCAGGGAGATCTTATAGTGGCATTCCAGTACTTTAAGGGGGCCTACAAGAAAGATGGGGAGGGATGCTTTATCAGGGAATACAGTGATAGGATGTGGGGTAATGGTTTTAAATAAAAGTGGGAAGATTTAAATTAGATATAAGGAAGAAATTCTTTACCGTGAGGGTGGTGAGGCACTGGCCCAGGGTGCCCAGAGAAGCTGTGGCTGCCCCCGCCCTGGAAGGGTTCCAGGCCAGGTTGGACGGGGCTCTGAGCAACCTGGTCTGGTGGAAGGTGTCCCTGCCCATGGTGGGGGGCTTGCAACTGGATGATCTTTAAAGTGTCTTCTAACCCAAACCATTCTATGATTCTGTAACATGCTGGACTTGGCAGGCTGGGCCACCTGGCACTGGGGCCAGCTTCCCCATGGTGCCAAAAATGTCACAGGTGGGGACAAAAGGCAAAACACTGAGCAGAGGCACTTGCAGATGCTCTCGCCCTTTCCCTCTCCAGTGTGACCCAGGGCTGTCGCCTCCTGCTGCTGGACTCCTCCGCAGGGTACCAGGGTGCGAGCCAAACGCTCCAGCCGAGGATCCGGAGTGGGAACAGGGTCCCGACGTGAAAACGGGACTGGGCACCACGGGGCGGAGCGGAGGTCGCCTGCAGGACGGGAAGGCGTTACAGCAGGGATGGGGGGAGTGAGTGGGAAGGGTGCTGCAGCCCCCCAAACCCCCTCCGTTCACGCGAGCGGGGGAGGCCTGCCCCTTCCCACGGAACCAACCCCCCACCCGAGGCGTGTGAGCGTCCCCTCGGCCCGCGGGCCCGGCGGCGCCGCCATGTTGCGGCGGATGCTGCCCCCTGGCGGCCGGCCCCGCCGCCGCCGCCGCCCTCCGACCATTTGCCGCCGGGACTCGGGCGGCGGCTCTAAAATGGCTGATGGGCCAAGGGCGCGGGAGGAGGAGCCCCCGCTCAAGGGGACGGGGAGCTGGGAGGAAACGACACACAAAAATTCTCCTCAGGGCTTCCCTAGAAGCCTTCAAGCAACCGCTCCCTGCGCCGGCTTAATATAGAACATTTTATCCGTAGAGAAATCCCAGGGCTGTGTGGCGGCAGTAGGCCTAAGCAGAAGGAGACGACCACAGCAGCGTTGCAGAGGGCTGCGAGGACTTTGCCTGGCAATACAAGAGTAACGTGCATCATGACACTATGCCAAGAGGGTGGAGCTGTCTGCAACCAGAACCGGAGCCGAGGTTTAAGGGCAGAGGCAGCTGGCGTTTGAGCCCGCGGGTGCCCGTGCCCAGAGCTACCCAGCCCTGCGGCCAATACTGCCAGTTAAACCAGAACAGCAGCCGCCCCCCTGGCTCCTGTGCCCCCCCCAGCTTTCCACCCACCCTTGTCCCCCAGCCGCTGCCACCACCGGACACCAGCCAAGCGCCCGGCTGGTAAAAAACCACCAAGCTGGGACTGCCTGTTGAGGGACTGGGTCAGGACCCAGCGCTTTTGTCCCCTCTCTGGAGGTGGCAATCACCCTTACAGAGCCTGAGAGGAACACCAGGGCACAAGGACAGTTACTACCCCTAGCCCCCTGTTGCAATATATTTGGGGACAAGAGACAATAAGCCCGTAAGAGTGTGATTGAGGTGCACAGCCTTAGTACAAAATCGAATTTACTAATTTGTTTTTGAAAATAAAACGCAGCAATTGGCTAGCATGAAACACAACATGAACTATGGTTGGGGGCACAGGGCTTACTTCAGTCATTGCCTATCTCTCCCCTATTTCTTTGTGCAAGCACTCTAAGAGCAGCACAGGTAGATGGTGGGGAGGTGAAGTAGGCTAGAGCAAAGCAGGACACCAGCTGCTGCCTGTAAGGTCAAGGACCTGAAGAGAGAGAAGGCTCACACCAGACTTTCTCACAGCCCTGCTCCATTTAGCAGCACAGAAGTAACACGAACCAGTTTAGGTCCTTTAATCTGTCCAAGACAGGGTGCTGAAGCACAAATGATAAAACATTCTGCATTTTTACAGCAAAAAATGCTACAGAAGTTTATAGGAAAAAAAATATTTTTGTACATGGGTAAAACATTATAAATTCAAGACAACTCACAGACAAGGGGTAAATTCCCACATCTATCGCTCATTTTTTTTTTAAAAAGTTCGTTTGAATAGGCAAGCAGTCAAAATGGCTTGCTCTCTCTTCCTTGAAATGAAAATCGTATCTTCCAAGTGGCTCACAGTACTGCTTCGCATCTTGGAATGTCCTCCGAAGGCTCCGCCAAGATCAAAGGAGAATAAAAACCCCCGGAGTCCTTTCAGATAGTCTCAGAGAGCAGGAGAAGGGAAAGGAAAGGGGAAGTTTATTCAAACTTTATCTTCTTTCCTTGTGGCTTGTGATCTCCACCTCCTCCTCTGCCTCCTCGGAAGCCGCCTCCTCTACCTAGAAAGAAAATTATTGCAAGAAGCAGAATTACAGGTATCTCCTGCACAGATACCACTGCCCTTCCAAACCCATCCTGGCACAGAACAGAAAATAAATTCACATCAAGCTCTCTGGGGTAGCACCACACCATCATCTCCAGAATGGCTTCAAGTAAACTTCTGAGCACACCCTGCTTTAGGACAGCAGCATTTGCCTTTTCTTACCTCCGAATCCTCTGCCACCACCTCTGCCGCCAAATCCACCTCTTCCTCCTCGGCCTCCTCCTCTGCCACCACGACCACCAAATCCACCGCCAAATCCGCCGCCACGTTGAAATTCACCCTTTGGCTTGGCAAAATCGAGGATCACTTTGTTTCCATCTATCTCTCCATCCTCCATGGCTTCTTTAGCTGCTTTGGCATCTTCTGGGGAGCTGAAGTCCACAAACCCAAACCTAGGAAACCGGTTGAGACAGTCAAACTCCACAAACTGTAGCACCACCTACAGGCACTCCATAGCAAACACCCACACAGGGATCAGGACCATGTTACTTGTAGAACAGCAGTGGCTAATCACAACTGATGAAGCCCCATTGCGAGTTTGCCAGTACTGAACAGTTAATATTCTTCTCGTGCGAATCCATTGGCTGCCACGGATTTGGCAGGAAGGAGCTCATTGAGAAGTGAGCATGTGCCACCCTCTACACAGACCCAAAGCTATAAGCTTGTTCTGGTTCCACGCGATAACATCCCACACTGTAAATCAGTTAGTGAGGCTCTTTGTAGTAACTGAACTAATCCCAGGTGATGTTTAACATACCCTTTAGACGATCCAGTGTCTCTGTCTGTGACTATTCTAGCACTTATAGAGCCTTCAAATGATTCTCTTAGCGTCTCTTCTGTGGTATCCTCAGAAAGGCCTCTGACAAACAACGTTTTGCTTTGTTCTATGGGCAGAGAATACATTGAGATCATTCTCTCTGAGCAAGGCAACAAGTAGTTTCTTAACAGCAAATCCAGCTTACACTACTGGCTCCTGGAAGAGCTCGCAGGGCTAAAGTGTTCTGAAGTAACAGCTCAGACACTTAGAAGTTCCTGATAACTTTTTCAAGACTGCAGTCAGAACCTGATGTCAAAGTATTTCCATCAGTCAACTTGGTCAAAATAATTCTTTATGGTTGGTGATTCCCCCCCCCTCCCCGGTTTGTGTTTTTTTTTCTCGTTTTTTTTTTTTTTTTAAAAAACAGATGCTTGCATCTTATCAATAGGGATACTAACTGGACAGACAGCGCTGGATCAGCACTTGACTATCTAGAGGACTTCGGCAATAGTTTCATCAGTATTTCAGATAATCAATCATCATATCCAGCACACTTGTTTACAATGCAAGTCTTTCACTCCACAAGCATAGTTTTTTTTTTCTTTTTAAAAGAAGCTCTAAGTTTACATTAATGGTACACTCCTACCACAGCTGTTTTAAGATCAAATGATCAAACATGGAACACTTACGATTAAATCCTCCTCTTGCATTCATGTTCCCTTTCTGCCATGCTGGTGAACTGAATTCCAGCCTGATAGCTCTGCCTTCAATCTCTGTGTTGTTATAGGAATTTAATGCCTCTTTGGCATCCTCAGTTGTGGGAAATTCTATAAATGCATACCTATTTGGAGAGGAAGGTTTCAGTCAGCCTGGGAACAGAAGGGATCTGTGGAGGTAAGTCATCCG